GATGTTTCTCCCAATACTCAGTTACACTAATGCCCCAGTGAGAGAGGAAGCTGTGAAAACAGCTTTACTCAGATCATCCTGAGTGAAGTAACCCATAAGTCTCTTCTTAAAACTCACATATTCCTAAGGTAACATATGATCCTTATCTGCTATCTGATAGTAATACTTTCTCATGTTTTAACCAATCTTGCTCAATTTTGGCCAAGAGCCTATCATTGGAATACTTTATTTTGAAATGATTCTAGAAAAAGACTGTGAGAAATTGAGGAATGTAATTTCCAGCTTCTGTAGTAAATGAAAGGAAGCACAAAGGACAGAGTAATATTGACCATCTTCAGAAAATCCAGTATCGTACATTGCACTAGTTAGATAAGAAATATTTTCTTCTTTATGTTTTCTGTTTCTTTCTTTCCTTTTGTTTTGATTTTCTAATCAATATCTCAAACTGGAGCATAATTTCATTGTATGAGTCCTTTGAGAATTTTGAATTTAAAAAGAACACCTTACCCTTGGTGACATAAGAAGTTATAAGGGCATTAATTCAAGTTTAGTCTATAAGAAACTTAAAATTCTATGTCTGGAGAGAAAGGGCATACCTTTAAAGGAAACATACAGAAGTAAATTGAGAATTGCATGATTGAATGAATGAACTTAGACATAAAGATGACACTAATCTAAATATGAATGATAATATTTCTTTATATTTGCTTATGGAACAGAGAACATTAATAGTGAACAGAGAGTCCACAATAAGTCATATTTTCTTCTGGTTCTTTTTAGATACCTAATGACCACATAAAACCTCTGGTTCTGTCTCTCTCTCTCTCTCTCTCTTTGTCCTCCCCCCCACCATCATTTTTTCTAAATAGATAAATTGGTAGTTTGAAGTACCACGAGGCTGCTGTTTTTGTAAGTCAAAATATCATAATTAGTGATGAAATTTTGAAAACTGTAAAGCTTATGGTTATGTTATAGGAAGCTATTTTTAAATTAGTAGCTGAACTAATTTAACCATATTGCAAAAGGCACAAAGAATGCCAATATGCAAAATTTTAAATGCTCTCATGTGAAATTTCACACCACTGTAGAAAGCAGCCACCACATACACTTATATGAAGAGCATAATTAATGATAAATATTAGGAGAGATTAAAAGACACATACAAAAGTATTTTTTCCTATTCATTTTATTTATTTATTTATTTGTTATTATTTATTTATTCACATGTGTGTACACTGTTTGGGTTATTTCTTCCCCTTTCTCCCCCTGTTTTCCCCCTTCCCCCTCACTTTCAGGCAGAACTTGTTCTGCCCTTATCTCTAATTTTGTTGAAGAGAAGACATAAGCATTAATAAGAAAGACAAAGCGTTTTTGCTAGTTGAGTTAAGGATAGCTATGCAGAGAGATTCCTAGCGTTGTTTTCATGTGCAAATGTGTTACAACCCAAGTTCATTCATCTCTAACTCATCTTTACTCTGGTTCCTGATCCCCTTCTCATGATAACCTCTGTTGCTTTAAGGATTCTGTATTAGTTCCTCTGTGGTGGGGAAATCAAACACTTTCATGTTTTGGGTTTTCTACCTATACCCATACCTTCCTTATGTGCTTTCCCTTTGTCATGTGACCCAAGTCCAACCACATTGCTGTGTTTGCCCTAGATCTAAAGTCCTCACATGAGGGAGAATATACAATTTTTGGTCTTCTGGGACTGGCTAACATCACTTGGAATGATGTTCTCCAATTCCATCCATTTACGTGCAAATGATAATACTTCATTCTTCTTCATGGCTGAGTAAAATTCCATTGTGTACAACTACCACATTTCCTTGATCCATTCATTAGTAATGGGGCATCTTGATTGTTTCCATAACTTGGCTATTGTGAATAGTGCTGCAATAAACATGGATGTGCAGGTGCCTCTGGAGTAACCTGTGTTGCATTCCTTTGGGTATATCCTTAGGAGTGGGATTCCTGGATCATATGGCAGATCTATGTTTAGATTTTTAAGAAGCCTCCAAATTTTTTTCCAGAGTGGTTGCACCAGCTTGCATTCCCACCATGGGCAGCAGCGCCCCCCTCCCTCCCCCACCCACCACACGCCTGCAGTAGAGGCCTGGCGGAGCAGCGGCTCAGCAGGCCTGCAGGATGGAGGCCTGGTGGAGTGGGTGTTGGGCCACCCTCAAAGCAATGGCCTGGCGAGTTTGTGGGACAGGGTCCTGGTGGAGCAGTGGTCCAGTGGGCCTGTGGGGTGAGGTCTTGTGGGCCTGCGGGGTGGGGGCCTGGCTTGTGGCAGCCTGGTGGGCCTGTGGGGGTCCGGCAGGCAGCAGCCCTACTGTTCTTTCAGTAAATCGTGGCATGGAGAAGCCTTCCACTCTTTGGGGGTTCAAGGTGCCAAAGTTTCCACTCTCAGCAAGGTCCCTGATCCACAGAGGTCACAATCTGCATCTGTGTCCTAGCGCCATCTTGGATATTCTCCTCCAATTCATTTTAGGTACTTAATGGCCACAAAAGATGTCTGGTTCTGTCTCTCTCTCTCTCTCTCCCTGGTCCCTCCTTCTGTCCCTTTGTCATTTCCAACACCTGAACAAACAACCACTCAGAAATTGTGAGTAGTATCACACAAATACACAAATAAACCAAAATAGTGGAAATAATTTAATCAAGATATAAGAATGATATGTTTGTAATGAAATACAGTTTATTTAAAAATATATATCATTCACAAAATCTGATCACATTTTAGGCAGCATTGCAAATTTCACTTCTTTTGTTTTAGTTCAATATGTAGTATTTTTGAAGGCACTTAAAATTTTCTCATGTGAAGAAACTTGGAGATATGTCTGGCAAAGCAGAAGGTTATAGCCAATAGGCTAACACTGTGGAAATTCCTCAGTAGAAGCCATAGGGCCAGTATCTTCCACAGCACAGTGGGCGGTAGCAGCCATAACCATAGCCACCATAGCCACAGCCATAGCCACAGCCTAGGCCACCATAGTAGTTGCCATAGTAGCACATGGTGTAGCAAGTAGACTGTTCAGTTGAGGACCAGGAAGTGAGTCTCTTGAGTCTGGATGTCGCTGTGTGACAAGTGCCTTTTATACACCTTCGGTGGTGTGGTTTTCCACACCACCTCAGTCAAACCATGTGCCTCAGTCAACATCCTGAATACCTTGATTTATTGGAAAAACAAGTCTCTCATAACTGATATAAATTTGTTCCCTTGTCAGGATTCCTGGATCCATTTATGGGCCTCTAAAATGTAACTCCTGTTTTATTTTCAAGGCTCTAGCTCGTTCTATATTTAGATTATTCAACACATGTGACCTCATAACTGGCTATGAAGTAAATCACCAAATAGGTAACCCATTTTTATTTTTGTTTTGTTTTCTTTCTATTCCTCTACAGGGAAAGAGAAAGATTTCTTACTCTCTTTTCTTTCTCTCTCTCATTTCCTTTCTTTTTCAGAATTCTAGTTTTTATCATCATATGATTGTTGTACTGGGGATACACTGTGTAATTTACAAAAGTTCTTACAATATATCATAGTTGAATTCACTAACATTATCCTTTATTTCCCCCCTCCCCAATTCCTCAAATAGTTTCAACATGTCTCATTCTTCCATTTTTGTACATGAATACATAATATTTCCACCATTTTCAATCTCCTACACCCTTTCCTCACATCCTCCCCGCTTTCACTGGTACCAACCCTGAGGCAGGACCATTTTTACTTTCCTGCTCCCTGTTTTTATAAAATGGCATTTTTGTTTCATTATGATCATATACAGGGAGTTTCATTCTGACATTTCCATGTATATATGTATTATAACCTGAAGTGGCCTGAAGTGGCTCATTCCCTCTATTTTTCTTCATTCTACCTAGTCCCCTTCTTAGGGTGATTTCAACTGGATTAAAAATTTTATATTCATTCTTGTATAGATATACATCAAACATAATTACCTGCTCTACTTCCTTCATTTACCCTTACGTTCCCATTAGAGACCTTCCTTTATTGTAAACTGTTTTTCACAATATTGCTTGTATTTGTATTTTATATAACTCCCATATATGAGAGAAAATATGAGTCCTTTGACTTTCTGAGTTGGCTGACTTCACTAAACATGATGTCCTCCAACAGTATCAATTTAGTTTCAAACCACATGGTTTCATTCTTCTTTATGCCTAATTGAAACTCCATTGTGTGTGTTTATGTGTGTGTATCTGTATGTATATCTATACATATACATTTATAATATATTTATTATATTTTATTAATCCATTCATCAGTTGTAAGCATCTGGGTTGTTTCCATAGCTTGGCTATTTTCAACAGTGCTGCAGTAGACATCAGTGTATGATAATCTCTATTGTATCCTGACTTACATTCCTTCAGGTATGTCCCTTGGAGTAGTATTTCTGGATTCTGTAGCAGTTCTATTTTTAGTTTGAGGAGTTTTCAGTGTTTTCCATAGTAGTTATACTAATTTAGATTTATGTTGAGAAAGATAGAAAGAAAGAAGAAGGAAAGAAGGAAGGGGAGGGGAGGAGGGAGGAAAATAGAAGGAAAGAAAGAAAGAAAGAAATGCAAAAGGAAGGAAGAAAAAAAGAAAAAAGAAATCAATTTCATTGTAAAGGAATAGAAACAAAACAAACAAAAATAAAAATCGGTTACCTATTTTGATAATTTACCTCATATGTTGAATAAGATAAATATAGAATGGGCCACAGCCTTGCAAATAGAGGAAGGCACTCATTTTAAAGGCCCATAAAGGATTCCTGGAACCCTGACATAGGAAGAAAATTATCTCAGTTATGAAAGCATTGTTTTTCCAATAAACCAAGGTATTCATGATGTTTTCTGAAGCATGTTAGTGAGATGCTTGATGCTACAATGCCTGTGGTTTTCCACACCACCGAAGGTGTATAAAAGGCACTTGGCACACAGTGACATCCAGACTCAAGAGACTTACCTTCTCAACTGAACAGTCTACTCCCTACACTATGTGCTACTATAGCAACTATTATGGGGGCCTGGGCTATGGCTGTGGTGGCCTAGGCTGTGGCTATGGCTGTGGCTATGGTGGCTATGGTTATGGCTGCTACCGCCCACTGTGCTGTGGAAGATACTGGTCCTATGGCTTCTACTGAGGAATTTCCACAGTGGCATAGCCTATTGGCTATAACCTCCTGCTTTGCCAGACATATCTCCAAGTTTCTTCACATGAGAAAATTTTAAGTGCCTTCAAAAACACTTCATTTTGAACCAAAACAAAAGAAATGGAATTCATAATGTTACCTAAAATGTCATCAAATTATATGAATGATATGTATTGTTAAATAAACTGTGTTTAATTGCAAACATTGATTTCTTATAGTTTGACTAAATTATTTGCACAGCTTTGGCATATTTGTGTATTCGTGTGATGTTAGTCAGATTATGTGAGTTGTTTGTTCAGGAGTTGGAAATCACAAAGGGAGAGAGGGAAGGAGGGAGGGGAGGAGGAGAGAGAGAGAATCAGAGGTCTTTTGTGGCCCTATTGTATCTAAAATGAGCAGTAAATATATTTTTGTATGTGTCTTTTAATTTCTCCCTCCATTTACCTTTACTTATGCTCTTCATAGTAAGTATATAAAATGGCTACTTTCTACAATGATGTGAAATTTCACATGGAAGCATTTAAAATTTTGCATATTGGAATTCTTTGTGCATTTTGCAATATGGTTAGATTAGTTCACCTACTATTCTGCCTTTGTGATGTTTTTCAATTAAAAATAGCTTCCTATAGAATAACTACAAGCATTATCCTGTTGAAAATGTCATCATTAATAATGATATTCTGAGTTCCAATATAGTAGCCCACTGGTACTTCAAACTACCAATTTATGTACTTACAAAAAATGTGTGCCTTATGTGTAGCATGAGAAATTTATCAAAATTCATGATTTATTTGCTAAGTAACAAATGAGCGTTAGGTTATTTTCATTTTTACCCAGAAATCTGGTCTTTATCAAATGTATCTATCCATGTATACTAATTTTCTCTCAAACTGAATTGTTTCCATCATTTAAGTAGTTATATAAGTCAATCTGAAACTTAAAAACAGTGAAATGCTGACAGAAAAAATAATGATGAAGGGGACAGCATTGTAAAAATGGAGATAGTATGAAAAATTTACTTGAAATTTGTGTGGTTCCTAATTACAGGAGCCAGGCAAGATGGTTCTGATGCAAAGAATAACTATCAGAATTTGGGGTACTCCTGTTTTCAGGACAGCACACCAAAATTGAAGACACAATAGGACACAATCTGGTCAAGGATGTGGTGGGAGGATATGGAGCTTATCACAGAGTCAGGTTTCTCCTCAAGGTATTTTAAATTTTCAGAAGTTTCATGGGTCAGTTTGATAAGAAACAAGCAGAATAATTTGAAAATTAGATGGAAATTTTCTCTATATCAAAATGATGAGAAAATAATCACTAGACTTCAGGACCTCATACAAAGAAGCACCATTAATTGACAAAGACAAAGGTGGAGTCCCTACAAGTTGGGTCAAAAGAGGTTGACAGATTCTTGCCAAAACACAAGGACCTTCATTTTGTGTCAGTTCTTGTTTGGATTATGGTAATCAGAATTTATATTTAGATTAGTTCTTACTTTGTTGGTGAGACAGGCCTAGAAGATCTGGGCTCAAGTTATCCATAGTTTTTGGAACTACAGGCGTGTTCCACCCCACCTGGCTCAATCAGACCTTTTATAATAGCCTAGAAGCAACAAATGGCAAAACTCTACAGTGAGATACAATATTGTTCTGCACCCTTAATATTTTAACAAAAAATGTTCACTTCATGGACACCTATGGAATTATGCCTAAAGTAGTAGATATAAAAGGTACAATACACTCATGTATGGAAATATCACAATGAAATCTCCTGAGTAGCTGGAATTGCATGCATGTATCACTGTTCCTGGCTTACAAATAAGTTTTTACTTAAAAGTAAATAAATTTATCTCATTTCTCTTTATTGGTAGTATGTCTTATATTGTGTTTAAACATTGCTGACTTGTCAATGGTCATTAATATAGTTTATCTAAAGAATATATTTTTAAGTTTTTTAATCTTATGTATAATACATTTAAAAAGATTTTTACGGAGTACAATGCACAGGGATTTTTTATCTATATGGATGACATCACAACTCAACACTGTTTACCACAAAGACAATCCTCTCCCCTCACAGCATCCCAACATCACATTTCTTTTTTTCTGATAGAGTTGTCCACATATCCATGGAAGATTAGTTCTAGGACCTTCTAAATACAAAAATCCATCAATGCTCACATTCCTAATTAACTTTGTGTGGTATTGCATATAACCTATGCATATCCCTCCTTACACTTTAAATCATTTCTCGATTACTTATAGTTCCTAATACAGTATAAATACTTGATGAAATGTTGGAGCATTGACAAGGAAAACACATCTGTACCTTTTATGTAGACATCTATGCTTTTCTTCTGAAGATTTTCAATTCAAAATTGCTTGAACATAAATGTAGATACTGTTCATACAAAGTACAGATTACATGTCAATTAAAATCTTTATATTTTGTTGGGCGCCAGTGGGTCATGCCTGTAATCTTAGCTACTAAAGAGGCAGAGATCAGGAGGATGGGTTTAGAGCCAACCCAGCAAAAAAACCATCACAGAAAGGGTTAGTGGAGTGGTTCAAGGTGTAGGCCCTGAGTTGAAGCACCAGTAACACCAAAAAAAAAATAAATAAATAAAAAACTTTATATTTCTCTACAAGCATTTCTTTTTTTCTTTATTTAATAAATTTTATTAGGATCTAATTGTTATACAGGAAAGAATTCATAGTGACAATTCTATTAGGCTTGTATTACACATTGCTTAGATCACCCCCAACATCTCTCTCCCTGTGCCCTTGCCCACTCCACTTAAAGCAATTGCAAGATGTTTCTTTGCCCTATTTCTTAAAAGTATATAAGTTCATCTATCATTTACCTTCACCTTAATCTCCTTCATTCACCCCCTTTCCAGTAGTATCCCCCCAACATACACTGTACCACTTTACAGTCCTGTCTTTTGTGAGTGATATTTAAGTTGATGTTCAAAGTGGTGTCTCAATGTATCCCCACTGTGGTTTTACTCTACTTTGGTCCATTCAACCCCTTGCATTACTCTTTCTTACCCATTTACCTCTCTCACCTATTTTTTACAGTTTTCAATAGACATCCTTATATCCTCTACCTTCACAGATGTTAGGTTTTGCAATAGTACTCATGCTCTATCATTCTCTTTCCCTTTTCTGTTTCTCCTGTTTCCATATAGTAGTTCCACTATTACAAACATGTTCTACTTTCCTTTCTATCTTATGAATTTTAAAATACTACATCTTCTGTAACATTACTCTTAAAATTTTTAGAAATTTTATTTTGATTTTCTCTTTTGGTTGTCCTAAAACCTATTACTTTATTTGAAACATTCCTTTCTTTGTTTTGTTACTAAGCTTTGGAATTAGTTTTATTTGAAAAGCAGCATAAAGTTGCTTAAGTCTTTGTAATATGTTGGGGTTAGTATGTATCTCTGATTGTGATCAATTTTATAACTGCTCCTTGGACTCTTAAAATATATTTTCTGAATTTGGGATAGTTATCGTCATCCTTTGGCCAAGTTCATTGATTGCATTGCTTGAGTTTGAAAAACTGCATCTCCTTAATAATATTGCATGCACATGAAGATGGTGGTGAGTGTGCCAAATGGGAACTGGAAGAAAAACAAAACATGAAGGGAATTTTGGACAAGAAAAGATTCAGTTTAGATAAACAGGAGCCTAATCAACCACTACACGTTCTGGAGTGAAAATGTGAGAAATGTTCCCCCACTGCTCAGAGTTTCACTAATGTGTCAGTGAGTCAGGAAGTTGTGAAAACCACAGGTCATCCTGAATAAAGTAACCTGTAAATCTCTTCTTAAAACTCACATATTCCTAAAGTAATACATGATCCCTCACATATTATCTGATAATAGGACTTTCTCATGTTTTAACTAATCTTCTTCGATTTTGGCCAAAAGCCTACCATTGGAATACTTTATTTTGAAATGACTCTAGAAAAAGACCTTGAGAAATATAATTTCCAGCTCCTGTAGTAAATAAAAGGAAGCACAAATTAGAGAATTATATTGAACTGCTTCAGAAAATCCAGTGTTGTAGATTGTACTAGTTAGATAAGAAATATTTTCTCTTTGTGTTTTGTTTGTTTCTTTTGTTTTGTTTTGGTTTTCAAATCAATAGCTGAAACTGGAGGATAATTTCATTGTGTGGGCACTTTGAGAATTTTGAATTTACAAAGAACTCATTGCCCATTAAGACGTAAGAAATTATAAGGGCATTAATGCAAGTTTAGTCTACAAGAAACCTAAAATTCTATGTCTGTAGCACAAAGAATACCTTTAAAGGAAACATACAGAAGTAAATTGAGAATTGTATGACTGAATCAATTAAATTAGACACAAAGATGACACCAATCTAAATATGAATAATGGTATTTGTATGCATTTATGGAAGAAAGAATATATTAAAAATGCAGAGTTACACAATAAGTCACATTTCTTCTGGTTCATTCTCTCTCTCTCTCTCTCTCTCTCTCTCTCTCTCTTCTCTCTCTCTCTCTCTCTCTCTTCCCCTCTGTTCTTTCCAACACCTGAAAAACCACTCAAATAATATGACTAATATCACACAAATACACAAATAAGCCAAAATGATGGAAATAATTTAGTCATACTATAAGAAAGCAATGTTTGCAATGAAATACAGTTTATTTAATAATACATATCATTCACACAATTTTATCACATTTTAGGTAGTATTATAAACTCCATTTCTTTCATTTTAGTGTATTATGTAATATTTTTTAAGAAACTTAAATTTTTCTCATGTGAAGAGCCTTAGAGATACTCTGATAAAGCAAGAGATAATAGCCAAAAGGCTAAACCACTGTGGAAATTCCTCAGTAGAAGCCACAAGACCAGTATCTTCCACAGCACAGTGGGCGGTAGCAGCCATAACCATAGCCACCATAGCCACAGCCAAAGCCACGGCCACAGCCATAGCCACAGCCTAGGGCAC